AAATTACTAAATCTAAATTTAAAGTTTTCTTATTTCAATATTTATTTATTGAAATTAGTATTTTTTAAAATATTTCAGTGGATTTGGGTAAAAAAAAGTAGCACCTATTTATTTAAATTCGTATTTAACAGTAAGATAAAAGCAAGTTCATCTCTAAGATAATGATCATTAAAAGCAAAATTGAAAGATCTTTCATATCGTAAAAGCTCAAGATTTTTGCTGTAGTAAAATGTGCTTTTTCTCTAAATACTTATCATCTTACAGTAACATTTGAAGTAAAATATAATATATACAGAATAGATTTTTTAAAAATGCCTGTCAAAAAAAATTATAAACTAATAGAGTAAATCAATATATATATATATATGCAGCACATTACGATAAAGAGTGTGACATACATGTAAGTACGTCACTACATTTTAGGATAAATGTCCATTCGGTTAAATGTCCGCCGGACAAATGTCTGAGTACAATTTAATTTCAAATCGTAAATATCAGGTTGCTCTGTTAGGGATCAAATGAATACATCTGAATATTCCAGAATTCTTCTCGGTGTCAATATGATTTCACGAGTCTATTCGTCTATTCGTCTATTCGTTATTCTATTTGTCGACTCGGCTATTCTATTCGTTTAATCGTAAATACTATTCGTCTATTCGGTTATTCTATTCGTCTATTCGTCTGATTAGTTTCCATTCTTCCTTAGCATTTTTTGTTTATTCCAATCTTTTTTTTTTCGACTCTTGGAGGTTATCAACAAAGAAAATGTATAAGTGGTGAGGCGGGTTTAAAATCCCGCCGAGGCATTCATTTCACACTAATAGCTTTGGAGAAGACATGAATGGCATCCCTTCCGAGCTATGGGTGAAATAATAAAATAGAATTTGCAAGTTCTGAAGGACAAATATGGATTTAAAAACCATGCTGAACAGGCCTGAAGCCCGTAAGACTATCTCGCTATAGCGACACCTATTCTTACTGTGGCTGCTTGTCGCTGGAGTATATGTGTTGCTCCAACGTCCATAAATTTTGCTTACGTGGTCCGTAGATACATATTGTTCCAATAGTGATAGACACAACTGTCAATATATTGCAGAATTGTCAATATATTGCACAATTTATTGTCTTTGATGCACGAAAAACCTAGACAACTTTTCACACACTTTCATTTTTACTCTCTGCCCTTCTTCTCTTTGTCTAAAAACTATAAATGCAACGCTAAAACACACACATACACGATCCAATTCATCAGACCTATAAATTCTTTTTTTTTTTTTTGAATCTGTAGGTTTGATGAATTGGATCGTGATGAATAACCCTTATATATATATATATATATATATATATATATATATTTTATACACACACACACACACACACACACACACACATATATATATATATATATATATATATATATATATATATATATATATATATATATATATAATATATAAAAGATCATTAAGTCAACAATCAGAGACGACAGGCCGACAGGCTGTTTCATGCTGGACGCAATCGTCAGGCCTAACGATTGCGTCCAGCAGGAAACAGCCTGTCGCCTCTGAGTGTTGACTTCAGTGTTCACTTTTATATTTATATTTACATACGCTCTATCTCCAATATTGAGCACTTTATCCCATAAATATAGCACACCTTAAAACTATATTTCTTTATTTCTTTATATATATATATATATATATATATATATATATATATATATTATACAAGTTTAATTAAAATAACTGACAAGTTACTACGATAAAGCTTTTTATACAATTATTTTTACAATCATACATGTGTTCCATTTCCTGGACATAAAATTTATAAAACGTATAACGTATCCCAATGTTATATATATATATATATATATATATATATATGTGTGTGTGTGTGTGTGTGTGTGTGTGTGTGTGTGTGTAATACATGAAAGGTATAAGAGCACTTTCGGCTATTCCCCTTATCTATTATCAAGGTTTTTTGAGATGATAAATGAAAAAATCTCAAAAGAATTAAAAGAATAATTTTGATATTTTCATCAGAAGACCCGATACAGTTAATACATATGGGATTTTGGTTTATTACAAGCAAAATACACCACATCGTTGGCGATCGGTCTGCATTTAATAAATTAAATAAAGACACCACAATGCTAAAGAAAATCTGTCAGCAAACTTATAATATCAACCAATTCTGCTGTAAGATCTTTGAAAATTGCAGATTAAGGAAACGTTAAAATACATACATCTGGATATCCATCATTTCACGACCTATTTATCAATTACCAAAATTTCTCAATAATATTATTATCCCATATCTACCTACTAAATACACTATCACATCTATACATCTATATCTCATCAATTTCCCCAAGTCCTTAAATCAATACGGATAACCAAATTAAAGCATTTTAGCCTCACTTGATGTAGAAAATCTATTTAGAAATATCAATGAAACCATCGATATCATCTGTAACTCTGCTTATAAACATAATACGATTCCACCTCCAACCATCAAACCTAATGTTCTCAGGAAATTACTGCACGCCTGCGCAAATACAGCTCACTCCTATGGCCATACTGGCAATATTTATACGTAAACTAATGGCGTTAGTATGGCAAATCCACTCAGACAGTGCTTCTCTAACTACTACCCCTCTCATGTTGATTTGAAAAAGTTAATAAACCTAAAATATGTGTCCGCTAAGTAGATGATATTTTTAAATATTTTTATAAAAATTTTTTAGAACATTTTAGCAGAAGATTAAAAGAAATCGAAAATCTCAAAACTATATTTGAAAAACTCTGTGTTTAACTTAAGATTCTGGCAATCGGGACCCTGCAGAAGAATGAAAACATCATCATACTACCAAGTGACAAAGGCAATGCAAATATAATGATGGACAGATCGGAATATACCGGAAAACTCGTAGCTACAGTAAAGAAAAATCCAATAATGAAAACAGAACGAAAACTGTCACGGATCCTAATCAAGGACAACTTCGCACCTAAGACAGCGTTATAGCAAGCTACCTGTGGAGCAATGGATAGCGGCTCGGATTGAGGAATCGGAGAGCCGAGTTCGAATTCCAGTCGAATCCATGCTTACGCGCTAATACCCTTGGAAAAGGTATGAATCCTCTTCTTCTATAGCTATAGGACAGACCGGCTTCGATAACCTTGGATGGCAACTGGTTTACCGCAGTAAGAAATGGTAGCCTACGTCAGTCATGTATCAAAAGCTACATGATCGCCTAAACGTGTATCACGCATGGCACATAACTGACTGACCTCAAAATTCACAAAGACGGTATTCCGTTCAAGTCGTTTGTTAACTGCCAAATCTCTGTGTGCCACCCTCTGAGTCGCTTCTTGTACATATAATTGACCCAGTAATAGGAAAGTCTCCTTCATATGTCCGCAACTCCGCCCACTTCATGAAAATAAACCCATCCCATCCAATCCAACCAGATGGTGAGCCTGGACGTGAGTTTGTTCACTAAGGTTCTCACGGAGGTGGCACTATCGGTTGCCAAGGACAGATTGGCCTCGGATTCATCCCAGTATACCAATAGATAACCTGATGGAGATGCTGACTTTCTGTACACAAACAGCACACTTCGGAATGGAATCAGACATATATCGACAGGATAAAAGTTTAGCAATGGGCTCGTCTTTATCACCAGCAATGACAAACATATAAATGGAATACTTCGAAGAAATGGCATTAGAATCCACATCAGCAAAGCCAACCAAGGCTGAGATACATTGATGACACCTTCATACTTTGGCCACACCAGGAAGAGGTTCCACTACTACTGGACTATATGAACTCAATAAGATAATCAATGCTGTTCACAATGAAGAGAGAAAGCGACAACAAAGTCGTATTCCTGGATGTACTCATATCTCGAACAGAGCATGGGTTGAAGACATTCGTATACCGCAAGCCTACATTCACCGGACATTACTTTAACTTCAACTCCCATCAACCATAAAGTGTAAAGAAAGGGATCATCCAGTGTTTACAACATCGAGAAAGAGTCACAAGTGGAGACCCATAAACATATGAACACTAAATTGTCAGTATAAGCAGTACCCTACAACCTAACAACTACCCTGGGTATAGGGCAGTAGCTCCAACAAACTGGGATAGAAGGGTACAAGAGGAAAACAACACTCGGAAAACAGATTCCGTCTGTCTGCCCTATGTGAAGGGATTATCGGAGAAAATACAAAATATCGGTGGTCCATATAACATCAAGACGACCTTCAAAAATGGTTCGACACTTAGTAAACACCACTTCCGAGTAGGATCCCCGCCCATAGATTAGAACATGACTAAGTTGCGCCATAGCGTACAGCTGTGGTAAGAAATATAAAGGGGAAACAGGCCGCCCCTTAACAAAATTTCCTGAGCTGATTAAGCATAGAAATGAATACAATACGGGAACCAGTAATACGGAATCCTAGAGAAAAGGAATAATAACAAGAAAATTGCAATATGAGCTCTGGTAAACAAAAAAAAACGGAACTGAGACATTAAGTTTTATTATAAGTCCCCAAAATTCATACACTGATGCCCTTAAGGACTCAGGGCCCAGCAGATAAAAGCGTTGGTTGCCTCCAGTGACTAAGACCAAAGTATTGTGAGTTCAATACCTGTCGAGCAAAATCCTGTTGAGTTAAAGGGAGATAACTGAGACATCCGTGCAACTAGAACAATCTACTCCGATAGACGAATTAAAAGGTTCAGTTCGAAATTCCAATCACCTGAAGAAGGCCGAAGCGTACAACGGTCGAAAAAAAATATATATATAATTGAAGACAACAGTCCGAACAATGTAAATAATATACAGGATTCGAGAGTTCATCATCATATTATTATTATTACTATTATTATAATTATTATTATTATTATTAAAAGAAGAAGAAGAAGAAGAAGAAGTTTACCAGAAAATATTTAATAAATCCATTTGTCCAAGACAAAGATCAAACACCATGACTGTGTTATCAGCTGGTTATAACAACTCAATAATAAGCGTCTGTATTTGGCCGGCATCAATTCATCAAAAAAAAGAAAAGAAAAGGCCGACACGCAAAAACTACATCAGATTTGAATACAGCTCAGTTCAAGGTAAAAGCAACACAAACAGGAAAGCCGTATGTTGTGTGCAGTGGTGAGGAGGAGGGGGTCGTTTGTTCTGATAAAAGATCCTAAGGAAATATAACAGAGTACAAGATTCGCCGGATATTTGATTCAGTTTTTTGTCTTTGACTCACGCTGCTCTTATAGCTTTTGACGAAAGACCATCTTTGTTGCAGATTCTCTCTTTTAATTATCCTCCAGGCTGATTCTTCTTCTTCTTCTTCTTCTTCTTCTTCTTCTTCTTCTTCTTCTTCTTCTTCTTCTTCTTCTTCTTCTCCACCTTCTTCTTATTATTTTGTCCTTTTTCTTCTTCTTCACCGACTGCTTCTTTTTTCTTCTGTTTTTCCTCCTCCTCTTCATTCTTCTTCTTCTTCTTCACGTTTTCCTTCTTCAACACCTTCTTTTTCTTCTACTTCACCTTCTTTTTTCTTCTTCTTCGCTTTTCCCTCCTTCTTCACCTTCTTTTTTCTTCTTCACCTTCTTCTTTTTCTTCTTCTTCACCTTTTTTCTTCTTCTTCTCCACCTTCTTCTTATTATTTTGTCCTTTTTCTTCTTCTACACCAACTGCTTCTTTTTCTTCTCTCTTTCCTCTTCCTCTTCATTCTTCTTCTTCTTCTTCTTCCTTAACTTCCATTTTATTCTATTTTCCTTCTTCTACTTCTACTTCTCCTTTTCCCTTTTCTTACACTCTCTTTACTATAACTCCTCTTCTACTACACACACTTCTTTACTTTTCTCTTATCTCTTTTTATACGAATTCGACATTCTATTTCTGTATTTTCTATCTTTTTTTTACTCAAGGTCTCGAAGACTAGTTTCTTTGGCCTGAAGCATCAACACAGATTTGTGTATTTTTTTTTTGAATGCCACACAACTTAACGACAGCGCATTTTTTTCAGAATCCAATAAGCAACTCTTAGCCACTGATAACCTTCACTTTATTATAATTTTCGATGTTTTGATTTTTTTTTTAAGTTCGAATTTGGGTTGATTGTTGATTTACTTCAATTTGGTGAAATTTGTTTTAGTTTTTTCCTAAATATGTTTTGTGTGTGTGTGTGTGTGTGAGAGAGAGAGAGAGAGAAAAGGAAAACATAATTATGCACTCATCAAACGAAATATTTGAGTCTCTGGAACAGGTTTCTCCATCAAATTACTCAAAGAAGCTATGACCCTTGACCCAGCCTGACTTCATGTTATAGTGGAACACACCTATTCTATAGTTAATAGACTCTTCCACCTATAATAAGTAGGAGTCGCTAAGTCGCTCAGGGAGTTAGTCAGTCAGTCGTTCACTTCTGAACCGACTGGTCGGTTGAACTCTCCGCCTTCGGGCGGGGAGGAACCCGAACGAGGCTGCGCCGAGGGGCGGAGTTTCGTTCGGGGAGGTAAACCGACCCTGAGCCCGTTTATACGGGTTCAAGGGGCATATTTTTGAGCCGAGCCCACGGGCTCGGAGAACCCACAATAAATAACCGACCTTGTGTCACATGCTGCTCCAGTGTGGGGGGGGTGACTGGATTATCGTCAGTCAGTCAGTCGATGTCGGACGACCGTTAGTCGGATACTAAAAGTACCAGCCACCACAACTGGATCTCTGCGTCATTACCTATTATATCAAGTTCCTAACGTTTTGTACGTCGAACCTATTTTAGGACCGACTAAGTGAAATACAAGCCTCCACTGTGAAACTACTCTATAACACTTCATACGTTCCAACCTTCTTGGCCTTCAGTAAATGTTGAATGAATTATGTGACATCAGAATTGCAACAGTGAGATCCCTGTATATGATGTGGGATAAATATCAAAGATTTTCTGGATGTCTGTAATGGCATAATGATGTTCAGCATATTCCTGATTTTAGAGTAATGGTTTGTGGACAAAACGTTTCTTGAAATATCCGAAATTACACTTTAAAAAAAAATTAAAAATACAAACAAGAATAACAGAGTTCAGCAAAATCTTTTTTTTTTTTTTGAAATAATTACTCTGGTAATATATTTTCCTTCAAAAATCTATTTCTGGTAAGAATTTTCCATCGCTGATAATATTTGTTTTTCAAAAATGTATTGCTGCTAATAATTTTTTTTTACAAAGTATTTCTGGTATTAAAACTAATTTTTACACTTTCATAGTGTTTTGTCTCGAGTTTGGGGTTTAATTATTTGCCCATAGCTGGGACCCTAACATGAGCTACCACCCCGGGTCAGAGTGGGCCTGGGAAAATCAGCAATTAAGAGGAGGTTCCACGCTCCTCAAAACCTCCTAATCAGAGACCTTGCTGTTGAACGTAGTTTATCGTCATACCCAGGACGGTGTAAAATGTTGCATTTTTTTTTAGTGTATCATAAACAGAAGTTGCATAATCACTTTATTCAGTTAAAAAATGTGTGGAGACAAAATGATGATTTTCGACTGAGATTAGCTATCGTAATTCCCCATGTATAATACGCCTTCATCAATAACACGCACACCTAAAATTGTGCTGAATGTCTGGGAAAATGCTTCTACTCACGCATAATACGCACTCCTTATTTGGTAATCAAACCTTATAAATTGTACCTCTCCAATTTCATTACAGCCAGCGTTTCCTACTCTTATTTAAAAAAAATGGTTTTAAACATAAAATAATATTATTCTAATTTAGTTTTAAGATAATTCTTAATTTATTTGACGGCAATTTTTTAAAGGTTTTTTGTAGCTGTGCATAATACGCACCACTGATTTTGCTTATTATTTTCTTTAGAAAAATGCGTATTATACATGGGGAATTACGATATTTTATCGCAAACCGAGCATTAATTATGTATTGGTCATAATTATTACGACGTGTAATGAAACGCTATTATATCGGCCAGTAATCATCTTTCATGCGCTTTTCAGGACCTAAGTTTGTCCCAGAAACTTCAGCTGCCTCTTCCTGATATTAAGTATAAGATTCCTCCTTGTTTACATCCTCTCTAAGACCTCGTCGTTGCTCACATGCTTGGTCCATGGTATCCTTAGCATCCTTTTGTAGAACTACATCTCCGTCGCCTCGAGACTCTTCTTCATCTTTGAGGAAATCGTCCAACATTCACTGCCATAAAGAAGGACAGATATCACGTAACAGCTCAGTATTCTTTTCTTTGTCACCAAAGAAATCCTCCTGTCTCGCAATACTCTGCCCAGCTTTTGGAATGCGTCCTTAGCCATCCCAATATGCCTATGGATCTCAGTGTCGCACTTACCGTCCTCTGTCAAAAGCCTTCTCAGATGTTTAAAATTCCACGTCTGCTTGATTCTAGTGTTCACGAACTGAAAATCGCATTTTGTGCTCATCCTTTTACTTATGACCATTCATTCTGTCTTCTTGTAGTTTAAGGAGTCTTAAATATATAATATCAAAACGAAAAAATAGTAAAATTCGGTCCGGGGAGACAATATCATTGTCTCTTGTTTACTTAAGGCATCCTATTCTTCTTATGTGATAACGGCTTTTGAGGATGCTGCTTGAGTTTATGCGTTGAAGTTATCAAATGTAATTGCGTGTTCTAAGAGCATTTATCTACTATGCATTTAATTATTCAAGATAAAAAAAAACAACGAGAATCCAATTGTACATCAACAATAAAATATATATTGAAACAATAACGTATAAAACGATCATGCAATGGTGTGTCGTAATTAAGGGAGAAAAAGTTGCTTCCCTTCCTCTGTATTCTGATTAAGATTGAATGTTCAAAAGAATTTCTCTTGAGTAAGAATGTTCAGGGTTCTATGTTGAATAGAGTCTGGTGTTAGAATATAATAAAGTTAAGAAGTGTGTTGTTTTGAGTAAGTAAGAAAGAGTTCTGGTTCATGAACTTGGCTTAGTCACAGAGAGGAAGAATTTGTAATGTAACACAAAAACCTGTGTCTGTGTGTGCGTTGTGAGTAAAATCGTGGATCTGTGTAGACAGGCGTAATAGCTGGACTCTACTGACGACTTTCGAGAAAGTCGGTAAGAGTTGTAAGCTTGTGCGCGGGAAAATTATTCCTCGCGTGCCGGCGATTGGTCGGAATTGACCAATCAGCAAGCTAGTTTTGAGGAGATTAGCGAATGAATGCTTGCCGTATGATCTGTATGTACGTGTGTATGTGTGTAATGGCGATAATTATCGCTACAACTGTATTCTTCAAATAATGCTAGCAACATGTCTTATGTCGCTCATAATTGAATAGGGATCTATGCATTCCTCAGATAACATATTACTTCATGAAGCAACTCTAGATGAAAGACATTGCAAAATGAATTTATTGAGTACACAAGAATAGAAAGGGGCGTAAGACAAGGATGGATCATCTCGCCGGACTTGTTAAACCTTTACCATGAGGCGATCTTGATAGAATTAGAAATCCTACCAGGATGAGTGGATACTACATTATAATATAAAATATGCAGGTGGTACGGTGTTAATAGCAAACATCGAACTGCAGGAATCCTCGATGAGTTAGTAAAGAAAAGCGGTACAAAAGAACTAACGATCATTTGTAAGACAGAGTGTGCGATTGTCAGCAAGAGAAGCAGATGCGAGCAACGAATTGGAGATATCTAAATAAATAACTTACACAAGTTTAACTATTTGGAAAGTGTTTTAAAAGAGGATGGGAAATGTGACACCCAGTTCCGAAGGTGCACATGATTAGCAAAAGATGCTTTCCAAAAACTAAACAAAATATTAAGAAATAAGAAAATTTCGTTAGAAACAAAGAAAAGGGCGCTGAACTGCTATACAGTATTAATCATCCTATATGGCAGCGAATGCTGAGCTATTTTCTCAAAGATGAAGAGGAGACTTGAAGCAACAGAAATGTGGTTCCGCAAAAGATGCTGAGAATACCATGAACGGAGTATGTAAGCAACGACCATAATTTTTTTTTTCAGAAAATTAGAAACAAACGGATCACTTATACTTAGAAAAGGTCAGTTAAATTTTTTTAAGATGCTTAATAAGGAAGGAGTGCTTGGAAAATTTGACACACACAGGATATATTGAAGTCAATAGGGACAGAGAAAAACAGCAAGTAACCCACCTAAAAAAATGTTTCAGCTAATGGTAGAACAATGGGATGGATAGTAAAAAATACATCGCTTAGAAATACAAATGATAGGAAGTTTGGTGATTCATGACCACTCATATTTAATAAATTTATAATGTGTCCAGTGGTGAGGAATTCTCTTTTAAAAGATATTTTATCGATAACCAATAATTGACATTATTTTAAAACATTTATTTACCCTTCTGTTTATCGCTAAAGTTAATTATACTGGAATTTGATCAATAAAAGATTCGAGAGCCACTCAATGTAGAGTTTACTGTCAGAGTGATAATGATGAATGAGGTGTGTGACATGAATGCAATGAAGGGGTTGAGATTGTCATGTTCAGGAAAGTAGCAACGCGGGAGCCTCTTTCACAACGTGTAAGTTCTTTGACAGAAGCTGTCTAAGGGAAAAGTTTCTTCTTTCATTTGGAACAGGTGGGGGGGGCTTGGTATACTGCATTCGTGAAAGTGGTTCACGCTAATAGTCGACTTTTTGCTCCAAGTCCAAGCGCTACCAAAAGAAAATGTCGTATACTTGGCATTGTCACTTGTTTTCTTT